TTCTGCTTAAAAGAAATGATCTGCTGCTTCTGACCTCCAGGCTTCTGCTTTTAAACCTTCAGCCCTTCATCATATTGTGTTGTTGACATCTTGAGATGATCAAATAATTTGTTTTCTTCTAGAATAAAAAAATTGTTTCAGAGTTCACCTGAATCTACCAGAGACTCCTTGGGATCTCAAGATGACTCCCCTATTTCTTTTGGGTGAGTTCAGCCTGCCATCATCACCTGTGCCTACAAGGGGTGAAGGAAGGAAGGAGGGAGGGAGGGAGGGAGGGAGGGAATAATCAGGGTTTCTGTGACATGTGAGGTCACAATTACTGCAGGATAAATGACCCACACTTGTATAGCGTCTGAGTCAGAGGACTCCAAAGCGCTTTACGCTTACAGGGTGTCTGGTCCATTCAGACACACATTCACACAGTAATAGTGATGAGCTACGATGTAGCTACAGCTGCCCTGGGGCGCACTTACAGAGGCGAGGCTGCCGAGCACAGGCGCCACTGGTCCCTCCGACCACTACCAGCAGGGCAGGCAAGGTGGGTTAACTGTCTTGCCCAAGGACACAACAGCAGCATCTTCTGGTTGTAGCCGGGATCGAACCTGCAACATTCCGATTACTGAACAACTACCTCCTGAGCTGCTGAAAAGTCCATGATGTCTCCTATTAAAGCTACCCAGTCCGGTCCTTGCTGGCCCAGATGTGAAAGCCCTCTTGGATCTCTGTATGACCGGTGTCAGAGCTTGGTCTTCATTGCCGGCATGAAGTCAAGTTCGTTTCCGGTGAGAGTTGGACTCTGCCCAGGCTGCCCTTTGTCACCGATTCAGTTCATCATTTTTATGGACAGGATTTCTAGGTGCAGCCAAGGTGTTGAGAGGATCAGTTTTGGTGGCCTGAGGATCAGGTCTCTGCTTTTTGCAGAAGATGTGGTCCTGTTAGCTTCAGCAGAATGTGATCTCCAGCTTTCGCTGGAGTGGTTTGCAGCCAAGTGTGAAGCAGCTGGGATGAAATTAAACTCCTCTAAATCTGAGACCATGGTCTTGACTCAGAAAAGGGTAGAATGTCGGGTCAGGTACTAAGTCCTGCCTCAAGTTGAGGTGTTAAAGTATCTCGGAAAAAAGAAAATTCATGGCTGGATAAACCTGTATCTGCAGGACTAATCGGATAAAAGCCACTTCTCTGTTTTTTGAAAATGTTCAAAGTTAGTCATTCCTTAATGACAATAGCAATGTTTAGATTTCTTCAGCTCCTACACTTGGGAGATGGGTCTAACACTGTGGTTGTCAAGTGAATCAGCTCTGAAGGACGAACTGAACAGAAAATATTCTGGTACCAAACAAGAAAAGGTGCAGTTTCAGTAAAATTTCCCGTTGACTGATCCTCAATGTTTTGATGAGCAAAAGTATTTTACCCATTATTGGTTGAAAAAATTGCACAAAGATATTTTTTAAGATGAAGTATTGACATTGATATTTCTCTGCAGTTTTGATTTCAGTAGTAAAATCCCAAGACCCCAGGGACCTCCAGGATCACGAGGAACAGTGTATTGGCAGCTCCTGTCACCCCCGGGTGGGTGACCTGATGATTGGTCGAGCGGCGCAGCTTTCGGCCTCATCAACCTGTGGCCTCAAGGGACCTCAGAATTACTGCATCATTGGCTATCTGGAGGTTAGAGACACCAGCACTCAGCACCAGGATGCTACCAGAGTAAAATCCACTTTTAGTTGGTTGAAGTTTTGCATGTTAAAGTTTCTCAATCAAAACAGATGATAACAAAATCAGTCTCCAACATTAAGAGTTTTAGTGTCTGAATCTGAAAGTTTTCTGTTTGTGTAAAATCCCGGATGGAATCAGAGGTTCTGTCTCTTCTGACTTTCACAGTCAAACAAGTCTTGATTTCATTTAGAAACCCCCTACCTACCCCCAATCACCCCAATGAGCTGAATGAAGTGTTAAGAACAACTAAAACACAATAAAACAGCTGCAAATGCAGATATACAACATTTAAAAGGCAGTACAAAACAAAAAATGCCATCAAACCAAAATTTTCATTCTCCATAAAGAAACCTGGGAACAGCATTCTGGAGCAGCTGCAGCTGAATCAGTAAGGACTAGAAGCTGTGTTTTCAGCCTGAACAACACTTCTTACAGATTCCTACACACCTCTTTCTAGAGCTGGTATAACATTACTGGAATGTATTAACTTCATAAAGTTGGTTGAATCTGGACCAAATTGATCCGAAGAGTTGACTTCTGGGTTGAACTAAAATGAACTAAAGTGACGGTAACATTTCAGAGAGTAATTTTTGGTTAGGACATGAAAACAATCTCTGTCTCCTGCTGTTTTGCAACTTGCAGAGTGGGCCTCCAGCATGAGCAAGTTCACTGAGAAACCAGCTGATCAGACGTCCTAATATCAGGAAATAAAACGGAGTAAGATTGTAAATCCTGCTGTGTTCTGCTCCCCTCTCCTCCCACTAACTTCTGGTTCCTGACAGAGGAGCACCAGAGCTTTCCCCCCACAGAGATCCACTCATAAGGCATTCTGGACAGATGAGGCATAAGCCTCTTTTATAAGACAGGCCATCGCGTCATTACAGAGTGTTAAATCACAATTTGTGGGCTCGTAAATGCAGCAAGGAGCAAAGGGTAAAGGTGATAAATTCAATTCTGATGCGCTTAGCCTCGTAGTAATATTGTCGCATGGGCCTCTCGCCTCTGACGGCTAAACGCGTCAGCCCCACTAATCCCTTTGGGGCGACTGTGGGAGGCCCCCCTGCAAAAGAGGGTGGTCGCGTTAGTGATATATACTGCGCGCTGAGTGCCGTCCGGAAGGGATAAAAACACAGATAAACATGGCCTCTCACTAGAATCTTTCAACCACCTGCAACATGGCAAACTGGACGGACGCGGAGACCATGGAGCTTTTGGCCGTGCGAGCGGACGAACAGATTAGTCGCCTTTTTACGGGGACGGTGAGAGACAGCCAGCTGTTCGACAGAGTGGTGAAAACACTGGCTGAGCGGGGCATCAAGCGGGACAAAAAGCAGGTCACATCATAGCTAAAGGTCCCAAAAAAGAAATTTCATCAGTCTGACGTGTCTTCCGTCTGACGCAGAATGCGCGACTCTGTACGTCACATGCCGGGGGGGCCGCCCAGCGACCTCCCTTTATCCCGTCTTGGTTTGAGAGGTGCCTGATGGCAGTTTATTCTAGCTTCAGCTTTGCTACTATAAATGCCAAAATCCTCCCAGGGAGCCGTGGCAAATCCCGCTTTTGCAAACGCTATGGTCCTGTAAAAACAGCTGTAGAGACTACTGCAGATGTGTTTATAAAATCAAGTGGACTTCGATAAATAATGCTGGAATGAGAAGGCTGACGCTCGGAACACACCAGACGCGCCGCAAACTGCTGTGGAACAACGAGCGCTTCTAATCGACGCCCTCGTTAACGCACTGTCACATCAGCCACGAAACGCCATGAAGGCTCGTGCCGTGCGGCGATCGTTTCGGCGTGAGCTCTATTTTTTCATGAGCTGCGTCAAATCTGGCAGGAAGTCAAACCAAAGCAAAAGAGGCAGGCCGGTTAATTTTACAAAATAAAAGAAACAGTTCAAAATAAGACACCACAATTGATAAATGTGATCATTTTTGTGTATCTAAACAGGCTAGAGAGATGAAAATGAACGAACACACACACACACACACACACACACACACACACACACACACACACACACACACACACACACACACACACACACACTCGCACACACACACACACACACACTCGCACACACACACACACACACACACACACACTCGCACGCACGCACGCACACACACACACACACACACACACACACACACACACACACACACACACACACACACACACACACACACACACACACCTGTGGAGAAAGGTAAAGTACCACAACACCTCTTGAACCTTTTCACAATAAAACATTAAAAAATAACTGACTAAGTTACATAATGTGGAAGATAAAAAATAAACTCTACTAAATTTCCATAACAAAAATGATTAAATATGGAAACAATCTGTATAATCTAATAGAATAATCCTGGGGTGACTAAGTTTTATAAAGGGAAATCTGCTCATTGTCACTCAGTGAGCAGCTGTGATCACCAACAGATGATCAGACCTTCTGTATCAGTGTTACAACCTGGTGAAACATTAAAAACCAGGATGAACATCTCTCATAATTACTCCCTAAAACTAATGTCAGCGTGGTTTGATTTTTCTTTTCGTGATGCTGATGTAGATTTTTCAAAAACAGGAATTTTTGGGACACTTTTCCTTTAAGTTATTCTTAGAAATGAACTTTTATCTGCTGCTCATCTAAAACGTTAAATATATTTAAAGATGTCTGGAGCAAATATCCAGTCTACTTAATAAATGATAAAAGGACTACCTATTAGGTTTTTAAAGAATTTCTTAAATTTAATTCCTTCTTCTGCAAATTTTTACATAGAAAATAAATTGAATTAGTAACAAAATATAGCTGCTGACACTTTTATTTTCAGTGATGACTAGTAGGAATATTATTTGGACTTGGACTAATTATATTGTTGTTATCTAAAACAGGGCAGGCTACACAAAGGTCTGGTTGTTGATTTAAACGTTGAAATGTTCTAACCCTAACCCACCACACAGGCTGCTGGCAGACTGCAGAATAACCAGGTGCTTTATTAAATAGCTGGTATTTCCATATTTGGAGACATCATTTAGCTGGGATTCCTTTAACTTTAGCAAGTAACACAAAAGTTGTGATTTAGTTTAGTCATTTTGTAAGCCCACCAACTCCGAGGTGTTTTGTGAAACTCTTGTCAGGTGACGTGCTGCAGCTCCTTAACAGGGACATTTTACTGGGAAAGTATTGAAATTTAGCACAGAAAAACATATTTATTCCGTACCAGTAGAAGGTGTGGTGATTAACTAACTGCAGCGGCGAAAAGCTTCTGTGGACCGTACCAATTTAAGTAATAAGAGGGGGGTCACAGTCTTTCAATTACTAAAACACGTTGTTTAGCAGTTTTCATTGTGACCGGTTGTGATCTGCTTTCATTAGATGACACTATATCGCTATTAAATATGTTTATCTGCTCAATTTTTTTTGGGGAGGACAACCTTATGCAAGGTTGGGGGCAGCCCCCCCCCCCTCGGGATTTCCCCCTATGTTCTTAGGGTTCTAGAACCCCCCAAGGCGCTTCACAACACAATCATCCACCCATTCCCACATTCACACGTTGTTGATGATGAGCTACAATGTAGCCACAGCTGCCCTGGGGCACACTGACAGAGACGAGGCTGCCATACAGGCGCCACCGGTCCCTCCGACCACCACCACCACCAGGCAAGGCTGGTTACGTGTCTTGCTCAAGGACCCAACAGCAGCATTCTCTGGTAGGAGCCGGGATCAAACCTGCAACCTTCCGATTACTGGACAACCCGCTCTACCTCCCGAGCTGCTGCTGTTTGTGGGAACCCTAACCCTATGTTTACCACACGCACACTTGTACGCCATGTAGACAAACAATTCTGTCTGCTTCAGCTGTTAGAACGGGGAAGGTTAAAGGAAATGCAGAAGCACACATCAGAGTATTGAGAAGTGATTTGTGTTCATCAGGGACAGAAGAAATGTTTCACATGTGACTCTCGTCTTCCATACCATCGCAACAACCCAAACAGCCACCATATTGAAAACATCATCAGTACTTCCGACCATACGGGCAGAAGGAAGTGGTGGCAGTCTGAGAATGGTAAGTCCAGATGCTCAGGAAGAGCCTTTTCCACCTGAATATTTCATCATGACAGTTCCTAATAAAACTTGGTTTCTTTGGTTTTTGCAGGGGTTCACCAGGTCAGCATTCAGCTGGATCTGGAGGCCATGTTTCAGTTCAGTCACCTGGTGCTAACCTTCAAGGTAAGATGCTGAACAGGGTTTGTTGTATTACATGTTCTGATGAGAGGACTCATTCAATTCAAAAATACTTTATTAATCCCAGAGGGAAATTGACAAAGCAGAAGAAAACATTGACAAATATTCTGTAAATTTTGTGACAGCAATTTCTGATAACATCTCCTCTAATTGGATTTTCCATCAAAATTTGAAGGACAGTTATAAGTATTGATGACTTTAAGTAGTGCTGTCAAGAGATTTTATGTTTTTCCTTCTTTCAGTAATTATGTATGATTATTTTTGGATAAAGGTAAAAGCAATAGTCCTACCCTGTGCTGTTATATAAAGGAAGCAAAAGGTCTTTTTTTTTGTGTTTCTAAGCTTGCCCCCTGTCCCATAGAGCCCCATGCAATTTGGCAACATTTCTTATGGACAAGTAAGTGCTTAAAAGCTCATGATGTATTTAGGGACATGGAGGAGTTTACAGGAAGCAGTGATCTCCTGTGAGTGAGAGAACAATAAATCATAAATATCCTGTATTTGATATAACACTTTCTAGAGTCCTGAAACCGCGTGTCTTGGACACTCGGGTAAAGAGAGGGGTGGAGCTGTCAACTGACCACTACGTGGTGTTGAGTTGGCTTCGATGACGGGGGAGGATGCCAGTCAGACCTGGCAGGCCCAAACGTATTGCGAGCGTCTGCTGGGAACGTCTGGCAGAGTTTCCTGTCAGAAGAAGTTTCAATTCCCACCTCCAACAGAACTTCCAAAATGTTCAAGGGAGGCAGGGACACTGAGTCTGACTTGGCCATGTTCTCTACTTCCATTGTCGAGGTGGCCGTTGGGTATTCAAGGTTGAGGTCCTCGAGGGATTGGACTGTGTAAGCTGCTTCATAAGCAATGGTGTCTTGGAGCAGTGAGTTCTGAATGGATGTCTCTGTCAAATGGATTGACCCTGAAACTGGCCAGTTCTCAAACCACCCAGCAGCAACTCTTCCTCATGCAGTTCAGCAGACAGTCGCCGTACATCCTCTTTAAGGTTCGGAATCCTTTTGTTTGCTTCAGAAAGCATAAACCCATAATTGTGGGGCAGAAGGAGGGGGCCATTCAAATTAGTTCCAAGGGTACAGAGAGTAAATACTTATGCTGAGCCACCTCTGTCAGATCAGAAATATTTATAGTCCAAATAAATATTCAAGGAATCAAAAAGTCCCAAAAATCATCGGAATCATAAAAGGTCCAAAAAGATCCACAGAATCCAGCAATCAGTGACTGGAAACAACCAGTTGTTTTTAGAGGAATTAAAGCACAAAACCAGGGAACTGAAACAGACAAGTCTGCCATGTCTGCAGGCTTCTTGTCTAACGTGACTCCTTCCATTGTAAGAAATTAGATAAAATCTGCCAAGCAGCTAAATGTGAGTGTCCTTTGTGCCATTTGACTGCAGAGTTTCAGGCCTGCAGCCATGTTGGTGGAGCAGTCAAAAGATTTTGGACAGAGTTGGAAAGTCATTCGTTACTTTGCAGAAGATTGTGCAGTTCATTTTCCTTCAGTTCCTGATGAGCCAGCCTGGAACATCGATAATGTGGTCTGTGACAGCAGATACTCAAGTCCAGAGCCCTCTACTGGTGGAGAGGTACTACATCTACACACCACAGCCCAACCTTCTGTTCCTTCTGTTGTCATAAATAAAAAAGAAATAGAAGTGAACATCTAGTGACCCAGCTTGATGTTTCAACAACTAAACAAACCCAAATAAATGAAGAAAAATAACTTACATTTTGTTTTATTATGTAAAATGTTATATTGCACTGTATTGATCAATGAAATTTAGGTCAAGTCTGATGATTGTCCTCTAGGTAGTGCTGAAAGCACTGGACCCTGTCTTTGAAATAGAAAACCCAAATGCGCCGGAAATTCAAAGTGAGGTTTTATAAACACTATGACTGTGTTGCATCAACGTAAGATAAGAAAACCAAAAATGGTTAAACCTATTGAACATTTCTTTTTAGATCTAATCACCCTGACGAATATACGAGTAAACTTCACTCGTCTCTTCACCCTTGGTGACACACTGCTGGCACGAAGGCGGAGGAACCCTCATGTAAAATATTATTACTCCCTTTACAACATGGTGGTTCAGGGAAGATGCTTCTGTAATGGACATGCAAGCCGATGTGTTCCAGAGGACAGAGGACGTGGGGATGTCTTCTCTCAGCCTGACATGGTAAAAACTGGCTTTTTCTTTAAAAACATCCAGTGTTTTAGCAGAAGTAAAATACGTAAACAAGTTCATTTAAACTGGAAATCAGGTTTGCTACATCTGTCTAATCCAGCATTTAGTACATACCAGGACAAGCTAAATGCACCCATGGTCTCTAAATGATTAAATGGGTTCAAGGTGAACTGCAGGATTATGTTCGTGAAACTGACCTGTGACTTTTCTACATGGAAAAAGAAACATATCAAATATTACTTAAGACACTTTTTAAACAAGTAGTAATAGTTCTCTTGTATCACATAAGGTGAACTCAACAGTTTATTCTTGACATTTAGTAGCTTCCAGAAAAAGCAGTTTCAGGACTATGCCACTTTTAAGCCCCGGTGTGTAAGAATATTACTCATTAGCGCCACGCAGGCCAGAGTGGATGTTGCAGCTACAGTAGCCCACACACATCGAAAAGGCAATGTGAAAACACCACACACCATCCATCCATCCATCCATCCATCCATTCATCCATCCATCCATCCATCCATTTACAGCCACTTAACTGGTGTCGGGTCGCAGGGGCAGCTGCCTAAGCAGAGAGGCCCAGACTTCCCTTTCCCCAGCCACTTGGGCCAGCTCCTCCGGGGTAATCCCAAGGTGCTCCCTGGCCAGCTGTGAGACATAGGGTGTGTCCGAATCCAGGGGCAAGATGCTTGCAAGGATGCACGAGTCCGATGACGTCACAACGCAGCGACGAGTACTGTCCGAATTCGAAGGATACTCATTCTCACGTCCTTATACGGGTCCTTGGTCCTCCCGAATTTTGAGGATGGATCTGGTGTATCCTCACTGGCGAAGGCTATCCCAGCATAATTTGTGCGCCAAATCGCTGGACTGTACAGATTTGCAACAATGGCTGACGGAACGGGAGAGCAGTACAATTTCAAATGTAAGTTTGTTAAAAATTAGTGGTAAAAACATGTAAAACTTGTCTTTAGTCTTTTTCCTTATGTTTGTTATATGAAATGTATTAAAAAATGTCCCCGCGAATGAGCTTGAGTGGTTTTCTTCATGTAACTTAAGGCAACAAAACCACCATAAAGTGTTTTATAGGAAAAAACCAACATAAAAGAGCTTGAATCGTATTTATTCATGTAATTTAACACAAGAAACAAACTAGGTTGAATGTTTTTAATGACATTTTAGGTGAAAAAAAGAAATACCATGAACTAGCTTGATTGTTCTTGTATTGTTTCATTGCTAATATTTTTTGTTATTTGTGCTAGGGACATCTGAACAGACTGGCACCCTGATCAAAACGATGCTCTCTTTACTGGAGCCAAAAATGCAGCCACGATGGCATGGAGGTACCAGAGTAGGTCCATTTACACCGCATATGAGCACAATAGTTCCATTTGTGTTCTGCTGTGAAAAGTATTCTTGGATTAACTGTTGGCATGTTTTCTGTCCACTGATGGAAAGAACGATAGAGAAAAAGTTTAGATTTGTTTTTATTCTGGTTCAACATATTTGTTGTTATATTTTATATTTGTTTGAATGTATTTGTTATTTGATTAAAATTTATAAAATTTCCATTATTTGATAACTCTTTTTGATCATTTTAACAGTTTTATTATTCACTTTCTTTAAAAGTAACAACAAAGGTTAATTAATGGTGAGGGAAAACTGTAATACATCAAAATTATTTGAAGAGAACAACAAAACAGTTTTTTTAACTTGGTAAGCAGGAAGTGTTTGGCGTGATACTAAATCTGCTGAATATGGATCCCAGTGAGCTGGAACCAAGACCTGTGGCTGAGCTTTTCTGGTTGGAGAGTGGAACGTCATATAGGGTGGTCTGCTGAGGGTGCTTCTGGATGCTTCATCTCACTGTCTACTGCAGGGGTGTCCAATCCTGGTCCTGGAGGGCCGGTATCCTGCATGTTTTAGTTTGAACTCTGTTTCAACCCACCTGATTTCAATCAGCAGCTAATTAATAGGCTTCTGCAGAGCCTGATGAGCTGCTGCACAGGTGTTTCAACCCCTGAATCAAGCCTGTTGGAGCAGAAAAACCACAAAACCTGCTGTATACCGGCCCTCCAGGACCAGGATTGGACACCCCTGGTCTACTGCATCCTCCATCAAAAGGTTTTGCTGGGCAGGCTCAATCTACGGCTGTCACATCACTAACATTCAGATATGTGCAAAAAGGATATAGATGAGTGTAATACTTGTAACTGTTTAGATGATAACAGGACTAAATGCTGTTTAGAACTAGAGATTACTACCTAAATTACTTGCCTGTTAACAGTAATCGTGTTCTGGTGGTACTTCCTCCAGAGCAGACACCTCAGCAGAAAGTTGGTCCCACCAGAGGGCACCATTGTCTGCCTCCAAACATGCCTCCCCCTCATCTTCTGCAACATCATCCTCGGGTTCATCCTCCTGTGCCACAATGTCACCAGCACTGAGGCTGGTGTTGTGCAGAATGGTGCATGCTGTGATGACCTGTAATTGAGATAAAAAGCAATTTAATATTTAATTCTAAAACAAAGATTACACCCAAAATAATTTTCCACTTTATGTAGTGGTGTACTGTGTTTCTGTAGCACGGACCATCAGGACCGCTTGATCCGGATGTGGCAGCTGTCGATTGCACCTGCTGCTTTCTGAAAAGCTCTGTGGCGAGCCAGCCCAGCAAACCCACAAGACACAACCTCCATCTGCTATGGGGTTTTGGGGAGGTGTATGACCTGATGACGAATGGCGACCACCTCCTCTGTGACTGAATGGACAAAGCCGTGGACAGTAGAACGAGGCACCCCAAACACTCTCGAGACCACCCTGTAGGTTGTTCCACTTGCCAACCAGAAAAGAAACACCAGGGTCTCGATTGTTGCACTCCAACCATGTCGCCGATCCTGGTTCAGGAGATTTAGCAACACCGCCAGAGACTCCCTGCTTAGATGAAAATCTGGTCTGGGATCCTCCTGGTTAAAAACCGGTCCAGGACTGGAGCACTCAGGTTAATCTTGCAGTACAGGGGTCTGTTCTGTTAAAGACCATTAAAACATGTTTAAATAAATACATTTTAAAAAAAGATCCAGGCATTGTTAGGCTTAAGTTGAAAAGGCCAGAAAACATTACAAACATTTCAATGCGGTTTTATTACTACAAACTTTATGCACACAAAGAAGCATTAAGATCAAATAAAATATATTTTATTAATAAATTAAAATGACTATAGGCAATCAACATATTAGTCTATTCTATAGTGATGTGTACATCTAGCCACGGGTCTTTCAGTAGCTTAAAATATAAATCAAACTAGCTAAAGTTAACATATAATTCCTGAAAGCTGGTTTACTAAACAAAAAAATAATTAACCTGGATAAGGCTGCTTCTCAACTTTAAATAAAAACGCTGGCGATGGACATTAAGCACCCCCTCAACTAAAAAATATAAAAGGAAAAAAATTGAGTTCAGGATCCATTTTCCTAGCTTGTTAGCCTGTTAGCTGCCGTCATGGTCGCTAAGTGACTGGACCTGGGGGTGGGCATAAAAACGAGGCTAGAACTGTCTGAATTCAGAGCTGTTGACTTCCGGTTTTAGCGGTCATGCAAGGACCCGACCTTGGTAGACCGGCAAGGACCGGTCCTCACAAGCATCCTGCCCCAGGATTCGGACACACCCATAGTCCCTCCAGCGTGTCCTGGGTCTCCTTTTTGGTCTATTCCTGGTTGGACGTGCCCAGAAAACCTCACTAGGGAGGCATCCAGGAGGCATCCTGACCCGAGCCACCTCATCTGGCTCCTCTTGATGTGAAGGAGCAGTGGGTCTACTCCAAGCCCCTCCCGGATGACCGAGCTTCCCACCCTATCTCTAAGGGAGAGTCCAGCCACCCTGCAGAGAACACTCATTCAGCCGCTTGTATCCGTGATCTCGTTCTTTCGGTCACTACCCAAAGCTTGTGGCCATAGGTGAGGGTAGGTAGGAACGTAGATCGACCGAGAGCTTCGCCAAACACCAGCTTTCAATAAATGAAAAGCATCATTTCACACCGCTCCATCCTTCCCTGGGACAAAAACCCAAGATGCTTAAACTCCTCCAAATAAAGTAGGTCTTCTATGAAATGGTAATATACACTTTTCCAATTAAGAACCATGGACTTGGAGGTGTTGATCTTTTTCCCATTTCTGTGAAGATATTTATTATGATATGCATTTTCCTTGTTTTTATATGTCAAAATTCCCACATACTAGATTAAATGCAGCAGCAAGAATTGACTAGAGTTGCTTGTGGTTTAATTTTATTCCCAGTGGACAAAGAGACTGAAAGAAAAGTCAAAGATGTAAGAAAACAACAAGAGGTGGGGGAAACAGTTTTATTTATGTATGATTTATTAATGATTTTTCTGAAAGCAGACAGACAATGAATACCGTATTGGCCCGAATATAGAATGACCCCGATTATAAGATGACCCCCTTTCAGGACCAATCTTCGGGAAAAGACCAAAAAAAAAAAAAAAAAAAAAAACAGGTTTAACTATTAAAAAATATAAATAGTAATGTCATAACAAACTAATTTTATTCGAAATCTGAGAACAAATACTGCGCAAAAATACTATTTTAATGCAAACTATCATAACTTTGCTGACATGTGAAATCAAAAGTCAAATGAGGCTTTTATTCAGACGCCCTCTGCCTCGCTGTACTCACTCATTCTCATGCTGCTGTGGGGTGTATACATGTGTATGTATATATACGTATACATATGTATGTATATGTACATGTATATATACATACACATGTACATATACATACATATGTATACGTATGTATATACATACACATGTATACATGTTCTAGGACTCCCCCAAGGCGCTTCACAACACAGTCATTCACCCATTCACACACACATTCATTCGCTGGTGGGGATGAGCTACGATGTAGCTACAGCTGCTCTGGGGCACACTGACAGAGGCGAGGCTGCCTAGCACTGACGCCACCGATCCCTCTGACCACCATCAGCAGGCAAGGCAGGTTGTCTTGTCAAGGGACACAACAGCAGAATTCTCTGGCCGGGATCGAACCTGCAACCTTCCGATTACTGGACAACCTGCTCTACCTCCTGAGCTGCTGCTGTCCCCATTAAATCAGACTAGCTGACATCAGCAGTTACTTTGGTTTGAGTGTTTAATTCTACCTGCATGTAAAAACGTTTTCTGCTTCCAGGTTCATGGCCGATGTGTTTGCCAGCACAACACAGCTGGAAAAAACTGTGAGAGGTGTCAAGAGTTCTACAATGACTCCCCCTGGAAGCCTGGAGGCCAATACACATCCAACACCTGCAAGAGTAAATTCACTATTTTTGTTTCTTTCATTCATTCAGGTCAGACACCGTGTTTTTAATAACTGTTTATATAATTTAATTTTTGCTGTAGCTATTATTTCAATTCCAAATTGTATTATCTGTAGCTGAAGTACAAATGGAAACAGTCCAATCCAATTTATTTATAAATCACTAACAAAAAACAGCGCTGTACAATAAAAACATTCACAAAATAAGGAAATTATGGAGTGGTAACAAGATTATACAAGTCACAGTAAAACCAACTATTTCAGTTAAAAGCCAATGATTAAAGGTGAGTCTTCAGGTGAGATTCAAACACAATAAGTCTAGCGGAAGTCTAGCCTTAAGTGTGTGCGATGCGCATGCGTCAGGATTAAGGACGGGGTAACGCCGAGCTCTGACAATTTGTTCAAATTGTGGTGTTTAATCTGGAAAAGGCGACTTAAAGGTTGGTGGATCTGAAAGATAAGACTGTTGGCAGTGTCATGCCCTCGAAAAAAACGAAACTGCCGCGCCAACAAAAAGAAAATTACGAAGTGGAAGTGTGTCCGCAGGTGCAAAGTGACATGGCAGGTGCGCAAGAAAGCAAGGAGCTGTCAGAACTGATATTGATAATAAGGGAGGAGATGAGTGTGGTGGTTGAAAAACTTAATACCATCACGAATGACATTTCAACTTGTGTAAGGAGACTGGGCGAAGTAGATGGAACCTTGTCTGATATGGATACCCGAATAATAAAGTTGGAAGCGGAGCGCGGAACACTGGAGAGGAAAAATGCAGAGCTGATGGGGAAAGTTGAGCGGCTTGAAATGGATAGCCGTAAAAACAATCTCCGTGTATTTGGATTACCAGCTGAGGTGGAAAAAGGCAAGCCAACAGCTTATATGAATGAACTATTTAAAGATTTATTTCAAGGAAAGCTTGCGTCTGAGCCTGAAGTGGAATGGGCGCACCGGATTGGCCAAGAGAACAAAGCGGGTGGAAGAGGGATGGTTGTGCACCTGCAAAAGTTGTCAATGAAGGAGAAGATTATAGAGGTGATGAAAAAGGAACATGTCTTACAAGTACGAGGAATGAAGATAAAGATTTTTCCGGATCTGACAAGGGAGATGGCAAAGAAACGGGCCGGTTTCTGGGAGATCAGAGCTAAACTGAAGAGCGCAGGAGTGAGACACGGTATGATCTTTCCAGCTACGCTGATCCTAACTTTTAAAGGAGAGACAAAAAAATTTCAGGAACGAAGTGAGGCTGAGATGTACTATAAAACTGTGATTGAGCCTGGACTTAAGAAATAATGACAATTGATACCAATTAAATAAGAGCTAAAAGGCGTGAAGATGACGTTTCAAGAATTGGACTGAGAGCACTATTGTAGATCTCGCTATGGTTAATTTTGTTTGAACCCACATAATGATTTATTTTTGAAAGATTATGTCATGAGCTGGCAGAACGAAGCAGAAATGTATTTTCATTACAACGTTAAAGATTTTTGTGACTGTGTGTGTGTGTGTGTGTGAATGTGGTTGGTGTTGGGATAAAGGCAATAATGGAAGCTCAGTGTGAAATTATAAATACCGGTAGAAGAAGTTCTAAACGAATCTTCAATGGCTGATAAAATGTTGTTGCAAAAAGGAGGGTTTAAATTAGCTCATTTGAATGTGTGTAGTTTAAGGAATAAAATAGATGATATTCAAGATATTGTAGAAAAGTATAATTTACAGGTAATGGCAATAACAGAAACACATTTGGATTTGACAATAAATAGTTCTTTATTAGACATAAATGGGTACAGTCTCTTTAGATTGGATAGAACTTTACATGGAGGTGGTGTTGCTTTTTATATTCAAAATCATATTCCTGTTAAGGTAAGAACAGAGTTCACAATTACAGGTGTGGAAGCACTCTGGTTACAGTTACAATTTCCTCATTTGAAATCTGTTTTAGTTGGATGTTGCTACAGACCGCCGGATGCTGCTATAATGTATCTCCATCAAATAGGTGAAATGTTAGATATGGTTTGTGACACAGGAAATGAGATTTACCTATTAGGGGACTTAAACATTGATTGGAAATCAAGAAATTGCTCATTAAAGAGTAAATTAACCTCATTTGCTAATACTTTTAATTTGTCACAAGTTGTAAAAGATTTCACAAGAGTGCAGGTTAAAAATAATGGTGTCTGCTCTAAAACGTGTATTGATTTAATTTTTACTAATATGGCTGAATTATGTTCTGAGGCAATTTCTGTTCCAGTTGGATGCAGTGACCATAATTTAGTTGCTATTAAAAGAAAAGTCAAGGTGCCAAAAGGTCAACACTTTATATATAAAAGAATTTTTAAAAACTTTAAAGAGAGTGATTTTGTAGAAGAAATAAGAAACATACATTGGAAAGATGTAACAAAGGAGCAGGATCCGGGTAAAGCTGTAGAGATCTTTGACAAAGGTGATGAATAACCATGCACCGATGAGGAAACAGGCAGTAAGAAATGTAGCTTCTCCATGGCTGGATAAAGAACTTAAGGAACGTATGAGGCAGAGGGACAAATTAAAATTAGAAGCAATAAAAACAAATCAATTGGAAACATGGTGCGAATATCGCAAAATACAGAACATTGTAACCAAACTGAATAAAAACAAAAAACAATTATATTATCATAGAAGAATCATAGAAGCTAAATTAGATCATGCAAAGGTGTGGGGTACATTAAATGAGCTTTTGGGGGTTAAAAAAAAGGAAGGCACCTACTGTTCTAGAGGCAGATGGAGTTTTTTTTAACCAAACCAAAAGAAATAGCTGATTATTTAAAACTGTTTTTTATCAATAAAATTAAAACATTGAATAATACCAGGGAGGAGAGAAAAGAAGAAAATACATCTTATCAAAGAATTAAGGACGATATCATGCAAATGAAAGATTGTGAGTTTAAGTTTATGGAGGTATCAGAGGATTACATTAAAACATTAATCTTAAATAGTAAAGATAAACCCCCTGGAATGGATGATATTGATATAAGATTGCTAAAATTGGTGGCAGATTTTATTTTACTGCCAGTTTCACATATTATTAACATAAGTTTTAATCAAAGTATTTTTCCAGCCCAATGGAAAAAGGCTAAAGTAATTCCATTAATCAAAAATAACCGAGAACCACTGTCTGGTAAAAATAGTCGGCCAATAAGTTTGCTACCAGCATTAAGCAAACTTTTGGAAAGAGTAGCATATGAACAAATACAAGAATATTTTATAACAAATAGATTAAACACAATTTATCAACATGCATATAAGGCGGGTCACTCCACTACTACTGCACTTGCTCAGATTACTGATCATTGGTTAGAAGAAATAGATGATAAAAAGTTAGTTGGTACTATATTTTTAGATTTGAGTGCAGCTTTTGATGTGATTGATCATAAAATCTTATTAAAAAATTAGAACGTTATAAATTTAAGTCGTCCGCCTTTAAGTGGACAGAAAGTTATTTAACGAATCGCAAATTCAACTTCTATTTTAATGGCAGTTATTCTGAAACGGGTCAGTTAGATTGTGGAGTGCCACAGGGCAGTTGTTTGGGCCCTCTTTTGTTTTCTATTTTTATTAATGACTTACCTTTGATTTTAAAACATGCAACCATGGCTATATATGCAGATGACACAACATTATTTGCATCAGCACAAACAGAAGGCCAATTAAATGATATTTTAAAAAAGGAGTTGGATTTAGTTACACAATGGTTTAGAATGAACAAACTAGAAATCAATGCAGAAAAAACTAAATGCATGATAGTGGGGAATACATATACACTACAGATGACACCTAGACTGCATTTGAAGCTAGGTAACATAGCGATAGAGCAGGTAGAAGAAGCAAGACTGTTGGGGGTAATTGTGGATTCTAGATTGTCATGGACTAGTCACATAAATCATGTCCTGCTGAAACTTGGAAGAAGTATGGGCACGATCAAATATTGTTGTAAATTTATTCCTCGTTTGCAGATAAAAACTTTAGTTCAAACATTAGTACTGTCTCATTTAGATTACGCATCAGTTATTTGGTCTAATACAAGTGAAATGAATTTAAATAAGTTACAAGTGGCACAAAATAAAGCTGCACGAATTGTTCTGGGTTGTAATTATAGAACAAATGTAAGTATAATGCACGATAGGTTGGCCTGGTTAACAGTGAAATGTAGATTAAAATATTCACTGATCACATTTATAAGAAATATAATAACTACAAAAATACCTAAAATAATTTATGACAAATTATCATTTTTTTCAGACAATCATGATTACACGACGAGACAGACAAGTGACATAAGGTGCGCACTACCGCGCTGCAGAACTAATCAAAGGCAAAGAGCAGTTTATTACAGAGCCATGGTTGCATGGAATGCCATACCGAGATTTTTGTTATTAGAGAACAACAGAAGATGTTTTCAAAAGAAGTTAAAGCTTTTCTTGTTCACACAACAGTAAATTTTGCACAGTGAATTGTAAATGTGACTGATATGACAGCTTCTATAATTTTTGTTTGTTATGGATGTGATGCGATATGATTTTTGATTCTTGAATATAGTTATTTATTGCTCTGTGTAAACTCTCCGTTTTCACCTATTTAGATTTTTCATGAACTCTGAAGTGTGTGGTAACTTATTGGTATATTATAGCAATTGAGGTGGTACGATTATAATGAGCTCCTGGAGTTTGTTGTTGTTGGGTGTGTGTGTGTGTGGGGATGGGGATGGGGGTGTTTTGTTAAATATTTGTAATGAAATTGAAAGAGACCTCAGGAAGAATAGCTCCACACTATGGTGTGAGCTAATGAGGTTCTCAATAAATAAAAAAAAATAAAAATAAAAAAATAAGAGAGTCAGCCTGCTTTACAGTTGTAGGCAGCTCGTTCCTCAACCTGGGACCGATCACCGAAAAACCTTTGTCTCCTCTGCTTTTGAGTTTGGTCTGAGGAACCACGTTCAGCTGATTGAAGAGGCCGCACAGGCACATGCAAAATCAGCAATTCCAACAGGTTGTGCATGTCATGTTCTGTGTCCCTTTGTTCCCCAGCCCCTCCAGTTCCCACTCCAGGTTCTCCTTTTGTGTTTCATAGCGCCCTCATGTGTCCTTTGTCTGCATCTCATTTATGTGTCTCCTGTGTTCCTTTAGTCTTCTCCAGTCACCCCTCTGCAGCCAGTCATCCCTCTGCAGTGTTTATAGTTTCAGCTTTTCATTTTTATTAGTCTCTTTAATATGTTTTGTCCCACCGGTTTTTGTAGTTCTCCTTCCCTTTAGAATTTTAGTTATATGGTTGCTTTTCTGTTTTTAGGTTCACTCTTAGGTCATGTTAGTTTCTTCCCTGATTAGTCATTGCTTTCACCTGGTCCTCCCCCCACACTCCACACAGCTGCAGCTCATCTGCCTCCCATTATGCCCCAGTGTATTTAAGCCCTGTCTTGTCTCTGTGTCTTGTCGGCCCATTTTTGCTGTTTGTGGTAATTCTGTCAGTCTCTTGTTCCTAGTCTCTAGTGTTTCTCGTGTCTCAGTTGGATAGTTTATTTTGGATTTTGGACATTTTTGGACTTTGGCTCCCTGCCCCTGGATTTATTCTGGGTTTCATCCTTCAAAATTAAAGGATTTTATTTTACATCATCTCCTGCCTCGTGTCATCCTGGGTTTCTGCACTTTGGGTTCTAACACCCCTCCAAAACGTGACCGTGCAGAGCAAGGCCATTTTGGCATTTAAAAATAATTACCTAATTTGGTACCTGACTGGGAACAAATGAAGTTCAGATGGGACTGGTGAAATATAGTTGCGCTTTCCAATACCAGTTAAGACGTTCAGCATTCTGAACCAGCTAAAGGTGTGAAATCAAAAACTGGCTGATGCCCGCATACAGAACATTGCAGTCGCCCAGTCTAGTCACCACAAAGGCATGAGAAAGATTTCACAATGATGTTGCTATAAGGATGTTTTTGTCTTTGCTAGCTGTGTGTGTGTGTGTGTGCGTGCATGCATGCGTGTGTGTGCACGTGTGCTCTGTCTTCTCGATCCCCAGTGAGTCATGGTGGATGGCTGCTTATACTGAGCCAGGATCCTCTGGAGGTTTCTTCCTGTTAAAAGGGAGTTTTCCTCTCCACTGTCGCTGCATGCTAACTTAGTATGAGGATTGCTGTAAAGACTCTGACACTAGTCAGTGACTTGATGCAACCTGCTGGGTTCCTTATAGGAAACTGTTTGCTGATTGGCTTAATGACTTGACCTGACCTGTATTGCTTACTGTGTGAAGGTCCTTGAGACGACTCTGCTCCTGGTTTGGCGCTTTATAAATAAAAGTGAATTGAAAATTTAACCTCATTACAATCATAACAAAAGTCTTAATGAAAAAGTAGACGCCTTCAGCATTTTTACAAGGTAATATTTTTTTTTATTAAAGAAATATGTTGAATTCAAATGAATAGATTTTGTAAATGTAATTTTTAGGGGCCAAAATCTACTTTTTTTTTTACCAACATCACAACCATTTTTGACCAGAGATAAAAATACAGTTAAAAACCATTTCTCTTTAGTAAAATGTCAAAGGTTTAAGATCAGGTAACACTCGCTGTGATCATGTTGCGTCTGGATTCTTCTTTGTTGCCCTGGATCACTACACGCATGAAGCCGAAAATGCCAAACTTGGACCAGTAACGACCAAACATATGATCTTTACAAATACACTGACCAGTCATGTGATCACACTCGCAGCAAAAGAAAAAAACTACATAAATAAACTGAATTGAATTTATGACAAAATTTCTACGAAACACTGACACTAACCCCACCCCCCAGTTTTTGTAGTTTCCAACAGTCTTTTGTCTCTTATTTGATTTTATGTTAATCTTCTCTTTTTCTGTTTCCAGGGTGTAACTGTCACGGTCACTCTGACTCGTGTCACTTTGATGCAGATCGATATGCAGCAACCAGTGGTGTGAGCGGTGGTGTGTGTGACGACTGCCGCCATAACAAGACGGGGCCTCAGTGTGAACTATGTCGACCTTTTCTGTATCAGAACCCCCAGCGAGCTATGGATGACCCCCATGCCTGCATACGTATGCTTCTTCTGTTCATTTTTACAGACTGAGCAGCAACACCTATTATCACTGAAAAATTACCATAATACATATAAGTATCATCTAGCCCAGCAGTTCCCAACCTGGCATATATGACCCCCCAAGGGGGTCCCTAAACGATAGTCTGTGCAGAGGTTATCAAGTTTTTAATTGCAAAAAGTACGTTTATAAACCCCCAAAACACACAGTAGTATAATCAAACTCTTAATAAGAGTTATAACTTTGTATGTCTTAATGAAATTTGTTATTAATCACATTTAATTGTGTGTATGCCGGTAGGAGTTGGGGTTGGGGGGGGGCTCTGGCTTGTCCTGGGCACAGGAAAGGGGCTCCTCATGAAAAAAGGTTGGGAACCATTGATCTAGCCTTCTGCTTCTTCCCAGATGGATTTGGTGTCTGAAAACGTGTTCAGTTAATGGCCGTCTTGATGGTTCTTGTGGTCTTCTGCCCAAAGGTTCTGACCACAGGTTCCAGTGGCCTCATTTAAAACATTTACATATCAATGCTTAACTTTAGCCGGATCTTGCCGGAACAAGATCCGGGAACTGTCTTATTTTGAAAGGACCGTTCCGGCTACTGTCTGTTAGGATCCGGCAACTCACGCGACCAACTTGTGCTATACGCAGGGTTCAAATTATGGGTGAGCTAAAGGGAGCCCGGCTCAATCAATCAATCAATCAATCAATCAATCAATCAATCAATCAATCAATGTTGTTCTCTGAACATGAACACTCTACCTCTCGGAAAGAAGGAACATGCGCGCCACATCTCTCATCTGTGTACAACCTCAGTTTGTACTATTTAACAGCAGCTCGATTCTGTTGATTCTTCCTGACTACCGTAAATCCTCTAATATTAGCCTGTATTTAATTAACTGCCGGGTATCATATTTTGGCCGGTGTCGGAGTTGGCGGAGGTGAATAATGGCCGGTTTTTTATTGTGGCCGGGTGAAATATGGTAACAAGCAAGTACGGGGGGCGGTTATGTCATCCGTCTCACTTTTGATTTGCCAGTGATAGACCACAAGGGTAACTTTAACCGTGCGGAGACGAAGAAGAGGCGAAAATTTGATATCAAGTTCAAAGAGAACGTGCTGATTATGCTGCAGAACACTCTTGGGAGCAGTAGCAGGGGTTGTATGAACTAGTCACTAGTCGACTTCACCGCTCTATAGTGACTTTTTATGCCTGTCGTCGACTAGTCGCTGTTACGTGATAATGACCGGCAAGATGCAGTCCACGGAAAAGACAGCAGCCTGCTGTCAGCAGGTGACAAGCTCCTGCGTCGGGAGGCAACGCGCTGTGCCAGAGCGTCGGTACTGACACCCACCGTAAAACGGCGATAAAGTCTCTGATTTGATTTAGACTGGATGCGTTGCAGTGCATGTCTGACAATTAATGCACTAATAAATTTTCTGGATAAATCACAAAGTTTGCGTAGAAAATAGCTTGTGCAATTTTCCGACACCACTTACAGGTGCTGGCCAGTAAATTAGAATATCATCAAAAGGTTGAAAATATTTCAGTAATTCCATTCAAAACGTGAAACTTGTACATTATATTCATGCAATGCACACAGACCAATGTATTTCCGATGTTTATTACGTTTAATTTTGATATTTAAAGGTGACAACCAATGAAAACATCAAATCTGGTATCTCAGAAAATTAGAATATTCTAAAGGCCAATGAAAAAATGTTTGTTTCTCTAATGTTGGCCAACTGAAAAGAATGAACATGAAAAGAATGTGCATGTATAGCACTCAATACTTAGTCGGGGCTCCTTTTGCCTCAATAACTGCAGTAATGCGGCGTGGCATGGACTCGATCAGTCTGTGGCACTGCTCAGGTGTTATGAGAGCCCAGGTTGCTCTGATAGTCGTCTTCAGCTCCTCTGCATTGTTGGGTCTAGCGTATTGCATCCTCCGCTTCACAATACCCCATAGATTTTCTATGGGGTTAAGGTCAGGCGAGTTTGCTGGCCAATCAAGGACAGGGATACCATGGTCCTTGAACCAGGTGCTGGTGGTTTTGGCACTGTGTGCAGGTGCCAAGTCCTGTTGAAAGGTGAAGTCTGCATCCCCATAAAGTTGGTCAGCAGCAGGAAGCATGAAGTGCTCTAAAACTTCCTGGTAGACGGCTGCATTGACCCTGGACCTCAGGAAACAGAGTGGGCCAACACCGGCAGATGACATGGCACCCCACACCATCACTGACGGTGGAAACTTTACACTGGACCTCATGCAACGTGGATTCTGTGCTTCTCCGCTCTTCCTCCAGACTCTGGGTCCTTGATTTCCAAAGGAAATGCAGAACTTGCTTTCATCAGAAAACATAACTTTGGACCACTCAGCATCAGTCCAGTCCTTTTTGTCCTTGGCCCAGGCGAGACGCTTCTTGCGCTGTTTCTTGTTCAAGAGTGGCTTGACACACGGAATGCGACACCTGAATCCCATGTCTTTCATGAGTCTCCTCGTGGTGGTTCTTGAAGCGCTGACTCCAGCTGCAGTCCACTCTTTGTGGATCTCCCCCACATTTTTGAATGGGTTTGTCGTCACAATTCTCTGCAAGGTGCGGTTATCCCTAGAGCTTGTACACTTTTTTCTACCACATTTTTTCCGTCCATTCGCCTGTCTGTTAATGTGCTTGGACACAGAGCTCTGCGAACAGCCAGCTTCTTTAGCAATCACCTTTTGTGTCTTGCCCTCCTTGTGCAAGGTGTCAATGATTGTCTTTTGGACAGCTGTTAAGTCAGAAGTCTTCCCCATGATTGTGGTGCCTTCAAAACAAGACTGAGGGACCTTTTAAAGGCCTTTGCAGGTGTTTTGAGTAAATCAGCTGATTAGAGTGGCAGCAGGTGTCTTCTATATTCAGCCTTTTCAGAATATTCTAATTTTTTGAGATACCAAATTTGGAGTTTTCATTAGTTGTCACTTATGAATATCAAATTTAAATGTAATGAACATTGGAAATACATTGGTCTGTGTGCATTGCATGAATATAATGTACAAGTTTCACGTTTTGAATGGAATTACTGAAATATTTTCAACCTTTTGATGATATTCTAATTTACTGGCCAGCACCTGTATGTGTAAGCAAGCTTTAGAAATGAGGCCCTTGAATTTTTTTTATTTTCATGCCTGCAATAAATAAATAAATAAATGAACAAATGTTTCTGGTGTAGAAAACAGTTCAGAAGTGCCTCAAATATCTGAAGATCACAAATATGTCTGCATGTTTAGCAGGTTAATGACATGACGGCCTAACAGCTATTTTCTGCATTTGATGCGATAATGTTTCAGCGTGTGACTGCGACCCAGCTGGCTCTCTTGGTGATGGCCTGTGTGATGCATCAAGTGGTCAGTGTTTCTGCAAGGAACATGTGGAAGGTCAACGTTGTGATCGTTGCAAACAAGGGTTCTTCAATCTCAGACAAGACAGCCCAACTGGTTGTCAAGGTAACACAATGATCTCTAGCCTCTTTTCACCATTTGAACAGGTGAGGCTTACCACAGCAATGATCAATGAGTGAATTGTATTGTCGGATGTTTGTTTTCTGTGTAGCTATGATCTGTGTATGTCATCTCTTTCAGAGTGTGAGTGTCACAGTTTAGGAAGTGTTGGGTCATGTGATCAATGGACTGGAAGTTGTGAATGCATGCCTTTGGCGAGTGGTCCACATTGTGATCGATGTGTGGTGAGTTCATACTTGAAAAGAGTCTTTAAAACCAGTAGTTTGAAAACAAAATGAGGAATAAGTAAATTTCACTGAAATAGACTTTCCTGTCACCAGTTTCTCAATCAGCATTGATAAATGTTTTAGTAAAACTAGAATCATTCTTTTAGTTAGGTAAATTCCTTGAAGACAAAAAGCATCTGGAATGTAACATGAAAAATTTTTTGAAACCCCTAATCTACAGGATTATTTGCCCCAAAGCAATAACTGAGGCCATGTTTTAATGTTTGGTTTTTGTCTTCAGGCAGGCTTCTGGGGTTTGGGAAACTCCGTGTTTAGTTGCTCACCCTGTGAATGTGACATTGGTGGAGCTCATAACAATACGTAAGATTTAATTTGCTTTTTAAGACATTCACTGTGCTTGGTGAACAATATGTTTTCTGCTTTATTTATAACAGTGTTTGTTATTTAATTGAACCCCTTTGGGTAATGATTTCTCTGCATTTCACTCATCCCCGGCTGCTATTTGTAAAGTGACTGAGGTACAACTTTCAGCGTTCAGTATGATTCCCCAGGATACTTCGACACATGACCTACAGGGCCTGGGGATTGAACCGTTCACCTTCTGATCAGTGGCCAACCGCTCTCCCCATTCAGCCTTGGCAGCCTACTCAATCGTTACAACATTTCTAGCAAACAACTTTACAATATGATTTTGTCGGATCTATTCAAA